ATTAAAAGATTTCGTCACCGAAAAGGAGGCTAATAAACAACCAGCTTAAGATTAAATCTATAAATCTTTGTTATTTTTGAAAACAAAGGTCAAAAATAATAAGTACCGCTCGTTTGAACCAAAAATTTACAAAAGTTACCAATACTCTTTTTATTGCCTTGTATTATTGAAAATAATTTTAGGTTATACCAGGTATAAAATTCTTAACCAATGCTTCCACTTGGCAAATTTAAACATTTTTCCAGCTACCTGTCGCGAAAGAATATTAAATATCAGAACGCGACAACATCTATTTCACCATCACATAAACTTTAAGTATATTTTAGAAAAAATTAGTTCATCATCAGAAATATAGTATCTTTAAAAAATTCCAAAAATTATGAGAATTTTAGCTGAAAACAGAAGCGCATTTTAGTATAAAAAATTTTTCGTATGATCGTTCTACATTTCCATACAGTGCAAAGATAAACTGTAGCAATAAATAAAAGCAATAACCTTTAAATTAGTGAGGTAATTGGAAAGTGACGGAGTCACCGCATCAGTCAACTGTTTCCAATTAACTGCCGTGGAAACAATTCGCTTCGGAGTTGCCATCAATCTGTACCTTCAAACACTTTTATTATTAAAGATATTTTGAAAATTATAACTAAACAGTCATTTTGCATACACAGGTCTCAAAAAAACATCGCCGAACCCAGACTAAAAAATGCTACCAACAAATGATTAACATTTAAACAAAGAGCAGAACATGAAGTCTCACCAATAACAAACAGTAAAAGAAAGCTTCCGTCTCGAACTCAGAGTGCATTATAATAATTCCTAGAAGTCCTGAACTAATAATTATCTAGACCATTACCGCAAACTCAACAAAAAGATTTCAACCTTACCAAGCAAACAAGTAAACAAACATAAAATTAAGCTAAATAGTCTAAAGCAGGCAATATGAAAACTTTTTGTTGACCACAATTTCCCTCTAATTCCTGTGTATCAAATTAACCACAATGGTCTAACCATCTGTTCTGAATCAGCAGAAATCCTTTATTTCCTGAAGCTCAGGTTCTCAGTGAAGCCCTTTTAACGAGTGACTTTTTACGGAGCAGCAAGTCTAACATTGTCTGCAGACCAAATAAATGGTTTTCTCATGTTTACAGTTTTAAAACGCTTCGAGATTACTTTCCTAACCGCATATAAGTCCACCCAATAACATATTATGTAGAATCTACTTGTCCACTGCACAAAAAAAAAGAAACTTTTATTAAAAGCCCCTCAAAGTCTACCCGTCGTCCAAGAAATCACCGCACATCAGTTTCAACACCAATTTTTACAAAGTAAATTAACAGTTAAGGCAATTTCTTTGATAAAAAATGTCATACTCAATATGCATCCAGTAGGCGCCCTTCATTAGTGATTACTGACCGTATAATGCACATTAGGAGAACAATAATTCTTTAAAACAGGAAAAAGTAATATAAAATAGAACATTACTGTTATTAATGATTGGCACTAAAAACTAACTTTTTTCTGTTAAAATTAAGCAACCTGCCCTGGGAGCGTGATACTTCAGACCGCTTTTCTAAGTGTTCTGCTACAATATTGAAAATTTAAAAATTTGCATTTTTCAGCTAGACAAATTTAAAGTTATTAATCCTGTTCATTCGTGAATCTTGCGTAGTATCTCTGAACTAAAAAAACCCTGGAGCTTTAACAAAATAATTCTTGAGTAACAGACTTTATAGAACTGGCTTGTGTCTCAAATTTGCCACAAATGCAGATTCAAAAAAATCTATTAGTTGTCGCACTACACAAGAAAAAAGTTAATGAATTGAATTGCAAAAGTTTTATATTCAAGCTTTTTCATCCTGTGCTTTGAGAGAATTCAAATAAAAAATGTCTAGCAAGGAAAAAAAATGCAGTAGCTAGCGGTTTACAGTGCAAAAAACGATAATCATAATTTACATCGAAAGAGCAAAATGTCAGGTTCCAGAGAATGAAGATGTTGACACAATGCCTCTTTTGCTTAAAAGTCATCCAGTGCAGAAAAAAAACATACCAGCAGAAGTAAAAATGCTATGCCATCCAAAACTATTTAAAACCTAAGTCTCAAGAAGCCAAGCTACCGTTTATAAATTAGAGTTTGAAAAAGCCACAGATCACTGTCAATTTAATAAAACAAAGTCAATGTTAACTTGAAAAACTATTTAACGGATTGTGGAAAGGGTACTCCTAAAATGAACATAGAGACCGCGAGAAAAAAACCAATTTGGCAGTAAAGTTTCGCCTCTAACCATATTACAAATGTTACCAGAAGGTAAATGAAAAAACATAACTCTACATCCAAGCCAATTCTGAAGTAATTTCTGCTCCAGACCCGCAAGAGCTCTAGATTAACACTTTGTGATCCGTTTTGCATGAAACAGCTCTCATTACGAAAATGCTGATAATTAAATTAATCTATTGTAGTGAACACGAAAAACTTCCGCAAAAAGTTATACCTTTGCTACTTGAAGCTTCTTGAGCGTTTAAGAACTATAACGACGCCGCGTAAAAGCCGCTGTACAAAAAGGCGCTAATCTAGTGAAATAGAAAAAATTGAAGTAGAATACAACTCCCTATTTCTTTTTTTATTGGAATGAGGTAAGAAGGAAAGCTTCTTCAGCATAATTTAGCTGTTTCAAAAACCAATCTTCCCCATGAACTCAATAAATTCTTTATAATCTAAAGCAACGAAATGTCATAGGAGTAAAACGATAAGCAAACCCCAGTACATTTATCAAACTGAACTTAGCGTTCCACCGTATTACGAGAAGACGAGCAGTGAGAAAACAATGTACTACGCTGGTAGTTCAACTGATTTCAACTCCCCACTCCTCTCATTTCCATATAAGTTTTTTGACATGTTAATGAACTGAAAAAAAAAAACAAGAAAGAATCCAACGTTAAGCGTAAAGGTTACACTAAGAAACGAATGGAACACTCACTAAATCATCACGTTGTTGAACCAGCCTCTCCACCAAAAAATCCCGCTTTAAGATAATTAACAAAAAACTTTCAAAAGCCAAAAAAAGTATATAGGTCCTTCTGAAACCGCTAGTGGTTAAAAGACCGGAAGTCTAACATCACCCAATTAAATATTTTGTTTATGCACAAACATTAACAAACAAAGTCAGGACGTCTCCTTAATTGAAAGCTTAGTTCTTCGCAAAGTAAAAAAAACAAAAGTTTTAAGATGTAAACCAAGAGTCTTCAATCAACAAAAGAAGCAACGAAGTAGAAAACGAAAAAACAGCTTAGCCGAGCTTTCCTAGTCCTCTACAACTTCCTACCTTCAGACAGACGCACTCCAACTGTCTGACCAATTGGCTTCTTGCCAAAACTTTAGTTTTACTCGTTCAATGTCAATCGTTTCAGGAAAAATTTTTCTGAACTTTTAAAAGCTAACAACTATGGACTTATCAACAATCATGTTATGCGTAACTGAAGTCATTCTGGCTGATTGGTCAAACATAGTTTGAAATATCGTAAAGTACAATGGTATTTGTGTTCAAATGGTTTGAGATGGGTCGTTGTAAATGCTAATGTAATTAAAGTAACGGATGAAAGTCGGTTTCAACTTAATGTTGAACTCGTTATTTTTCGCTTTTTTATAGCCATCTGATGGATCTTTAAATCACAGAAACGGCTGTCAAGGCTCATCATTTTCTTACCTAAGTATAAAAAATGTTTGCTTTTTCTGCTATGTATACAAGACTTAACTTGCTTCTATAACCGCATAATTTCTATTACAGTACCTGTTAAAATTTTTACTCTTTGCTTTTGAACCAAAAATATTTTGATATTTCATCGACCAAAGTACTTCAGTGTTCTCAGAAATATGGTCAAGTCTTTGTGTAGCGATGTAGCCTGTACTGCTGCGTCATATATCTAGTTCTACAGGTGAACTGACCAGAATAAAAAATAACGTGTTTTTTTGCTCATTAAAGGTATTTATTAAGAAGCAAGTAGGGAACAGGTATTTAATATCTCTTATTTAACGATGCAATAATTATTTGGTGGCAATTCTGAACTTTCTTTTTAAAAAATTAGCAGATTTATTTTTATTGTTTTTCCAGTTCTTAAAAAGAATTAACAGATACTGATTTATATTTGTACAATGACTGTTTTGGTCGTTATTACTTTCATTCTCGTTTCTATTGGAAGTTTTTTGATCCTCAAGATTAGTGATATTAATCAGTTTCAGCTCAGACGAAAATATGGTCTAAAGCCGTTTGTGAATAGTTATTTTTTAAGTTTTGGATACTGCTGTATCCTACAGAATTGAAAAGGTTCACATTAACACGTCGTTAATTTGATGGTAAACGATCAAAAGAACTATCTTTTGGTATTACGAGATTTTTGTAAAATACAATCTTAACGAGTAGAGGCGATGTAGTGACAGCCCAATGAAAGTAATGGGGGATGCAGTGAACACAAAAGACCACAGAGATGGACTGATAATAAGTTTTAAGGTTAAAAGCAAATTGGTTGATAAAATTGATAGTAACTGATTGATGAACAACATAGAAGTATATCTTTTGGTTCTTTTGAAGAACTTGTGTGCCGGTATCAGTTTCTAATTTTTGACTATTACATCTTTGGTTCTGCTTTGCATGTGAGTTTACAAAAATGATCATTTTTCTTTTATACTGAGTCACCATTCGTCTTCATGGAAAACAACGAATAATGTACAGTTTTTGATGGTTAAGTCTTTGTTTTTTTCTTTTTGCTTAACGCTCTTTCATCTAGTTTTTGGATTAGTAAGATCTGAAAATACTTTGCCAGGATGTCATTGTCAAAGAATAGGTTTGCACAAGGTGGGTGTGCAAAATTTGAACTTATCTTAGAAGAGATTTCAGGTAGCCTAAACTTATTCTGGTTTTATTTAGCAATTTTATTAGTTTTTTTAATAACCGATATTGTTTTGATGACAGTAAAGAAAATTGGGCAATTTGACGGAAAACAGTGAATCTATTACTCAGTGTCTATAAATTTATGAAGTATATTGCAGTGAAAAATTTTAAAAGCAAAAACAGTTGAGAAATTTTTTGATATTTTTTTCTTCAACATTTTTTTTTTTTTTTTTTT